GTAGACAGTGACCAACAGTATGTTTATACACCATTTGTTCCCTCAGGATCCTGGAGCCCATGTTCACCATTAGTTTGGAATCAGGGTTTCCCAATTCGTCTAGATGAATCCTCCGTGTCCACCAACCTGTTTCAAGAGTCGGACATTTGCTTTCCGTGTTGTTAATTTCGTAAAGAACACCGGCGCCACGTGAAGGCAGTGAGTAGGACTTCGGTGGCAGTAGCTGTATACATGTGTCCATTTGAGAGCATTTCGAGAGGGAAAGCTGATTCTCCACACCCTCGATCATATCATAGCATTTGAGGGCAAATGGATACAGTTTCTGAACATATCAGTTAATGTTGGATGTCTTCATTACATAGCTTTTAGTGTTTTCATTTATTTTGTCTGTAGTTGTTTGTACTATTTTTGGGAATCGATAAATATCTAAAAAACAAGTTAATTAAATTTTTATACTATTTCCTTTAGAACTCATATTTTAAATATCAAGTCAAATGGTTTATTTTCAGTCTGGTTGCAAAGTCTTTCTCTTTTATAATGTAATGATAAGTTTCACATATTGTGTATAGTTTGAAGTCGAATTCGACTGCTAAACTTTTTTAAATGTTCTTAGATTTCATCATTCTGATCATATTTATTTACTCATCATTTGTATATTGTGGATGTAAAGAAGACTTGGATTCACTTGGTCAGACATCTGATTAGTTATAATGACAATCGATTGTTGTTTAAAGTGTAATTTCACAAGCACAGTCTATCAAACAAGAATGACTTTTTTTAAAAAGGAAATCTGCTTTGAATGAATGCATTCTGGAAGTTATTAAATGAAAAGTATGATGATAATTACATTTATAGATAAAGTCAAGTTATTTAATGTCCATGGTTTTAACGTAAAAGGTGTAAATACCCGTTTAAATCCATTTGGATATATTTTTAAAAAGATGACTAAATTTATTATTCATGCAAGCGGAAATCATTTATTAAGCTGCTTATCAAAAAATATATATCATTTTTAAAGATTTACTCAATCAGTTTTGTTTATTATTTGAATAAAAAGATTTTTGTTTGTTATTTCTTTCCTAGGTATCCAAATATTTTATTGAATCTCCTGGTTCACATTGTACTCCTTTGGCAGGTAAATATCTACAACCACCATGGTCACCGCTAACTCATTCGTTCATTGAATCTTCAGAAACTGATCTAGACTGTAAGATTGTTGACTAGTAATACGCATCCAGTACAAGCTTTCTCAATAAGTGATATTTAATAATATAACATTTTTCTGATTATATATATACATATATATGTTACCGTCACATTTTGTTTTGTTTTGTTCCCTAAATTTAGTTCACTTTTTCTTCCTGTAATAACACACAGTTGTATTCAGAATTATTGTTTGTTAATTTGTTTTGTTGCTTGTTTACTTTTAAGTATTTTTTTCCTGTGTATATCATAAGGTTATATGCTATTTTTAAAATTATTACTAACTGTAAAGGCAGAGAGAGAAAACATGATATGTAATATATGCATTAATGTTTCTTTCGTGGTGAATGTTTACAATTATGCGTTTTATTTGTTAGATTACGGTAGTTATATATGAATAGTTTATAGATTAGGCTAAGTTATTATTTATGCTCTGAAATTGTTGTACAATTAGTCGCATACGGTCTGTTTAAGTACTCTAAATCTCTTCTCAATTTATTTTACATCAGTCGAAATGCAGTTCGTTTCAGGTAGCTATGATAAAGAGTAGAAAACTTGTTCTAGGTATATAAATTGTTAGACGACGACTATTTGATCTAACACCTTGTCATCTGCTTGAAATCCGTGCACTGTTTATTTCGTAACTCCAAGTTATAAGTAATGACCTAAGGACTGATATTCAAATATGATCAGTTTTGTATTTTCAACCTGCAATGTCCCATGTCACTTGACCATATTGAGAAAAGCAGATTTAGATCACACATATAACTCCGTTTAGAAAAAAATACGTCAATGACCTTAATGGGTTGATGTTACGATCTTTATGTTGCATTCTTCGAGCCTTATCGATCCTTGGATCCAGATTTCCTACTACATCAAATGATTTGTCTTGCGTTTAGCTAATTTATCTAAGACTAAATTGTGTCTGGTGAACATAATGTATGTCAAGCATGATAATTCCAACCTTCTGTTGTTAGAACTCTTATTTATTTGTGACATAAAGTTGATTGGTACTGCAATGCATTATACAGAATGAAACAATGACTACATCTTGAAGAAATACAAGAGAAAAGTATTCCAAATAAGAAATATTAACACGTCAAGATGGTTTTAACTGTTAAGAAACAAAATGACTTTTAGTCCTTAATACCCACATATGATTAATAGGCTAATAGAGACATGTTTATGTCAAACTCATACAGATTTTATCACTCAACTAGACAAATTATTTGTCTAAAAACATTTCATGGTCTAAAAATACAAGTTATATCAGTTTTACATATTTCTGGTAGTTGAAATCCTTCCAGATCATATATTCTCGGTCCATCAGTTACAAAATTGAAAAACAGCTGTTGAGTCCAGCCAACATTACCTTCGTACCAAAAGCAAACTGGTACACGACTAAAACAATAAAGAAAGCGAATATTTTAATAAAATTAAATTATCATATCTCGTATCCTTGTAGAGAATTAATAGATGGATAGGATTATTATGATAATCAAGATGGTATTGCTGATTAGTGAGGATCTTTAGTTACAGGGAAATGCTTATGGTGTTGGTGGATACAACCATGTAGGAATATGCCTATAGCATGTCAAAATGTATCAAAGTCAAGTCATTGACTAACTGCTAACGTAGGTAAAGCATCATATATGGACATCGTGTCAGATGAGATGTTAAACCTGTAGGAAAGAGCAGTTTTATATTTCAAATTGTGCTACATCTGATTTGATCTTCAAATCAACAAATAATTTCGCATAAGAATTTTACTAAATAATAATGTTTAATTGGTTGACAACTATTTTCAAATTATTACACATAACCATAAAGATACTTTCAAAAGTATCTTTCGAAATGCTCCCCAAAACTTGACGAGTAATTAATTATTACTTGCTTACGCCTGTTATCCCTCGTTGTGGAGCATAGGCCGTCCATTAGTATTCTCCATCGTACTCTGTCCTGGACAAACCTTTCGAGTTGTTTCCAGTTGCTGTTCATCATTTTCATGTCTGTTTCCAATTCCCGACGCAGTGTGTATTTTGGTCTACCTGTTTTTCGTTTCCCTTCAGGATTCCAATTTAGCGCCTGCCTCGTGATGCACTTTTATGATTTCCCGAACGTGTGTTTTATCCACTTCCAACATCTTTTTCTAATTTCCTCTTCATTTAGGAGTTGGCTTGCTCTCTCCCACAGTAGACTATTGCTGATGGAATCCCGCCAACGGATATTGAGTATCTTGCGTAGACAACCGTTTATAAATGCTTGTACTTTTTTGATGATGGTTGTAGTAGTTCTCCATGTTTCAGCTCCTCACAGTAGAACTGTCTTGACGTTCGTATTGATGATTCGGTCTTTGATATTGATTGACAGTTGTTTTTAGTTCCATATGTTTTTCAACTGTAGGAATGCTGCTCATGCTTTGCCGATCCTCGCCTTTACGTCTGCATCAGATCTTCCACGTCCATGGATGATGCTGCTCAGGTACGTGAAAGTTGCCACCTCTTCCAGAGTTTCTCCATCAAGTATGATTGGGTTGGTGTTCTCTGTGTTGTATTTGAGGATCTTGCTTTTTATCTTGTGTGTTTCGAGGCCTACTGATGTAGAGGATGCTGCTACACTGGTTGTCTTGACCGGAATATGTCCGTGCGTTTGGGATAGAAAGGCTAGGTCATCCGTGAAGTTCAAATCGTCTAGTTGCATACAAACTGTCCATTGTGTTCCGTGCTTCCCGTGAGCTATGGGGGTTTTCATAATCCTGTCAAACTCTAGAGTAAAGAGAAAGGGTGAAAGATCGTAAGCAGCCTTGCCTGACTCCGGTCCCTACTTGAAATGCGTTTGTCAGCTGTCCTCCATGCACGACTTTGCAGTGCAGTCTGTCGTATTAATCTTTAATGGTCTTGACGATTTTATCAGGTACACTATAGTGTCGAAGTTTCTATAATGTTCTCCTATCCACACTGTCAAACGCTTTCTAATAATCAAGGACGTTAATGTACAATGATGAGTTCTATTCGATTGAATGTTCAACTATTTTTTATCCGTAGCGTTGCGATTTGGTCTGTTCATGACCGATCTGTAGATCTTGAAGTTGGGCGTCTACTGAGTCTTTCATTCTGTTCAGCAACACTGTTGAAAACCTTTTCTGTTACTGACAGTAATGTGATTCTTCTGTAGTTCTCACATTTGCTCAGACCTTTCTCAGGTATCTTAATGAAGTGCCCTTTCCAGTCCGTCACCACTCGTTTTTCCTCCCAAACTATTCTGAAGAGAATGTGTAGCATGTTTACACTCACTTCCATGTCTGACTTGAGTGCTTCAACTGGTATATTGTCAGGTCCTACTGCTTTCCCGCTCTCAATTTGTCTGATGGTCATCCTGATTTCTTCGACCGTTGGTGGAGCGACATTTATAGGAAGGTATGTGTGTGCTGCTTCGATGTGCGGTGTGTTCAGTGGAGCTGTTTTGTTCAGGAGTTCCTTGAAGTATTCTACCTATCTGTTCCCTTGTTCTTTAATCTAGGTGATTGTCTTGCCTTCTTAGTCCTTGACCGATCTCCCTGGTTTACTATATTTCCCTGTCAGTTTCTTCATAGCGTCATATAGTTGTTTCATATTTCCTCCTGTTGCAGTTCTTTCCGCTGTCGTTGCTAGGTTTTCCACATATTTCTGCGTTTTAACTCTAATGCTCTTCTTCACTTCCTTGTTTGTTTCTTTATATTCAGCTTGTGGCTTAACTTTCTCTGTTCTTGTTCGACTGTTGTTAATTGCTGTCTTTTTGACCTTTCTTTCTTGAATTTTGTGTAGGGTTTCGATAGAGATCCATTCCTTATGATGATGCTTCTTGCAGCCTAGAACCTCCGGACACGTTAGAGTTAGTGCTTCGTTGATCCCTTCGCAGTTGTATTTTATGGTAGTTTCTTCTTTCAGTAGATCCTGTAAGGCATGCAAACTTTTGTTGAGAGCTCTCTTGAATTCGTTGAGTTTTTCAGTAGTTCGAAGCAAGTCTGTATTGAACCTTTGTAATACTGTTTCTTCAGTTGTTTATTGGTTTTTTTTAGCTGCAGTTTCATCTTGGCAAACACCAGCTAGGGGTGATCTAAAGCCATTTAAGCTCATTTCCTGGTTCTCACTTCTTCCATTGCTCTTCCAGATTTTTTACTGATGCAAATATGATCGATCTGATTCGTTGTAGTGTGGTCCGGTGAGATTCATGTAGCTTTATGTATGTGTTTGTAGGAAGATATTGTCCCACACATAACCACTTTGTTGAATGCACATGAATATGGAAATCTCTCACCACTCTTGGTCCTTTCTTGCAGTCAGTTCATGCCGTCGCATGATATTTTCATAACTGTTGTTGTCCATTACGACTTTGGCGTTTAGATCTCCCATCAGGATGGTTATGTCCTTACCTGGGTAATTCTCTATGATCGATTGCAGCCTCTCGTGAAACTGGTCTTTATCGTCTTCATTTCTATAATTGGTGAGTGCATCATATTAGTTAACATTCATTGTGATCCCTCCTTTTTTATTTTGAAGGATGCTTTGATGATCCTAGATCCATGAAATTCCCATCCTGTAAGTGTTTTTGGTGGTTCTTTGGACAGCATCAGAGCAACTTTCTAAGTGTGTGGAGCACTTTCTTCGTGACTGGAGTACAGTAGCATCTCTCCCGTATCTAGCCTTTGCTGTCCTCCGCCCGTAGCTTTTCTGAAGTTACTGCCGATCACAAGCCCAGGTAAAGGAGGAGAGTTGGGCGTGTAGTTGGCAACCCTATCTTGTAGAAAACAATCCTGTTAAAAAAACGCCATCCAGATTAAACAAATTAAACCATTTAAACTATTCCCTGAGAGTTGAAGGAAGAATTATGACGTCTCATGTTGAAAGCTGAGATTCTTAGGAAATCATGAGACAGATTTTCCTTCTAATAACCAGATCAACAATTTTTATAGGTACGTGGAACGTCTGGACAATGTGGGAGACCAGGAGGACCAGTCAAATAGCGACGGAAATGAGGAGATACAACTTCACAGTATTCGGAATCAGCGAAACCCGTTGGGATGAATTATATATGAGTGTAAATCATTTTTCATGTTAGTCACACAAATTACTTGATATTTAAATGGAATAGGTATGAAATTTAAAACAATTAGTCTCTTTGATAAATTTTGATAATGCGATGATGACCTTCGTCTTCTCAGTGCATTATCGGAATGGATGGAGCCAATTTTAACAGTGCAATAATAATTTCAGTATTATGTGGAAATAATCAAAAGTAAAACAAAACCTCGTTCGAATTTTACTTAAAACAAAGAATATCGAGATTTAACAATAATTAGTAACTACATTATATGAATGATGGATTGTTAAATAGAAGTTCGAACTACAATTAGTATACTCGTTTTGTAGAAAATTTATTATGATCAGTGGTATAATATGGTTATTATAATACGAGTATTATGACTATAAAATCCTATATGTTGGAAAAGGGTTCTTTACGAAAAAGATATTTTTGTATACACATCTGAAACATCATGTAATTAGGAAATCTTGGTTTCCATGTCAGTTGGTTTACCAATTATCGTTCCGTGATTATTAATATTTTTTAGAATTTAGACGCAATTCTGTTTTCGTATCTAAGTCCTTTACCAACGTGTATGGTTGGTTGGGTTCTATAGTAACACGTCAGTCGAGATTGTACTGTTAACGTTGAGTGTTCATAAAGATTGTTCAACTTGAGGTTTACGTTAAGTTCTGACTGTGGCTAGACAAACTTTGATAACCACGAACCAGTGAATAACCGCTTATCCGTAATACATGGCTTATCAGTTAGCACCCACAATCTCATCAGTGAGCAAACATGGGACATTCAGACTGAACAGAGACCTGATAAATTTCAAATCGCTGAGTTGACATCCACCCATTTAGATTTTCAACTTCAGCTCATGAGCCATCTAAATGAAGAATTTTTAGAAAACTTTCATTTTATAATAATCACACACTTATTTAGAATAAACTTAGGTGAGAATTCCCAATGTGATCCAATACTAGTTCCTCATGTTTAAGGATCGTCTAGTTGAATTCCATATGTGATGTAAGTTACCTTATGATTTTCTTTCTGACGTTTAAATGCTTTATAATTAAAATACATTATTCAGTTTAAAATAAAATCATTTTATTGGTAAATGTGATTGAGAAGTAATTTCTGTTCAATATTATTATAACCTGTTAAATGATCATTTTCTGAAGAGGATATTGTCATTTTACTTTTATAAGAATTGGAACTGTAACCCCTAAGGATTTTTTAAAATATTAACATTATCTGTTTAAATTCCATAATACAACAGATGAATATAATGAAAATGAACTTGTTAATGAACCATTTATGATCATTTATAATATCTTTTTAAATGGAGAATCCATTTCATAATTTGAGCGGTATATGATATTTATTAGCGAATTGTCAAGTGAAATATCATGGATTTTTTAAAGTACAGAAACTAGAGGAATCATGTCTACAAATCAAAGACTATTTCAAACCAAGCATAAATATGTATAAAACTCGTTAGCAATCATTCGAAACTGAAAGTCACTATCAATAACTTGATGTGTAAAATCTAACTTCACAAAATTACTTTGTGTCCGAATAGGTTAGCGATAATTTTCTTAACTATGAATCTAAGTGACGTGAATGTAAGCTTAGAACTGGCATAAGATTTGATTTGAGTGAATATAAACCTTGTTTACGTTAACAAATCATTATTTAATATTCAATAACATCTCGATTCCTTTTTATAAATCTTCAACGTCTTATGAAAGAAAAGGTAGCAGAAAGATTAAAACTCATACTAAGCAGAAAGAATATATGTAAACAGAACGGCACAACAACTATTTACCATTTAATTTAAGGTCATCATTAGTTGGGAATGACGCTTTATATGATAGCTATTAAGTATTACCGCTTACACTACTCTATCGCTTAATTTTTAAACTCTATGCTACAACATTGAAAATGCTATTCACTTTCAATATCTGATAACCTTAATATTAACAAACGTTCATGATATGATTATTCATTAAAATATCTTATGTACAACAGAAAATTTTTTGACATACTTTTTTGATTTTTCAACAGTCCATCCATAACCACCGAAAACTGAATGACTAGTTAATGAAGATTTATTTCTTTGCTTCAGATAATACTTATGTTGATTTTCATTATCAGATGGTATAACCCACCATTGAATAGTTTGATTCAATAAACCCAATCCCAATTGTTCAGTTGTACCATTATAATATTTAGCAAACTGTTCCATGAAATTTCTCTTAGGTATATCAAATGATTTACGATATACACAACATGGTCCATAACCTGAATCAACTGGTGCAATTAAATAAGCTGTATGATTGAAGTTAAACAGAATACATGGAAAATAACTGGTTGGTTCAAATATTGGTACACAATAATCTTCATAATATTCAATAGCAATGTTTAAATCATTAGCATACCATGTCATACCACGTCCAACAGCATATGGTAATTGTGGTGGAATAATTTGTGGCCATGGTGGCAAAGGCATTTGATCATCATCTCTTGGTGTATAGTAAATAGAAAATTCAGTGTAAAAACGTTCCGGTAAAATAGGCGGTGATGGTGAATTCACTTCAACTATCGAAGAAGTTTTTAAGTTATGATGAAGCTGTAATAAATTAGAAATCGAGAATATTGACTTTATACGTAATGGTTAAATAAATTATCAAAAGAACATTTATTAAGGTATAATGAAGAGAACTAATCATTCAAATTTCTTTTACTAGTAATACTACGTCCACTGACTTAGATATAAATCGAACAATTTTTAATGATATAAATGACATAAACTGCATTATTGAATAAATTGGTTTAAATAGTTTATGTCATCGTTAAGTTAATATTTATAAATAAGTTGGAATCGGAATTTTGTTGTTGGGATATTCAGAAAAATATACCAAAAATTATCTTGTTAAGTCTAATGCTATCCTTGAACGTGAAATGGTGTCATTTTCCTGTTGGTCAATATTCACGGTAGTCCTAACTGTATAAATATGCATTTGTCTGTAAAGTATCATTCTTATTCTTATTCTTCTCCTGACCCCATAAACAATTTCATCTACTGTTCGTTTTCTGATATATTGGAGATTGGGGAACAATATTGGGGTATCTGAAGTTGGTCAGTCGGTAGAAATTAGAGTAGCCACCCCACGGTCCACAATATTTGTCTTTTGTTTTTGAAGCTACATGTTAACTTGTTCACGAGAACCATCATTTTTCATTCTATAGCAAACATGTTCACGTAGTTTTAAGTTGTGTATGTTCAGATAAACAAGGAGATATCAATGAACATTTCTCACACTTAATATCTCCAGATGTAAAATGTCTTTTCCAATGAAACTAAAGGTAAGATCGTTGATTTGTATTGTTTTTAAGTTGTTCAATAAATATCAGTAATCTGTGGATAAACTATTTTTTTCAGTAATAGACTCACCTACTAGTAGTATTTGAAGGATATCTTAACTTACCGTCGGTGGACGTTGCAAAAATATCGATATCTTTTATTACTTGACATGCTTTTCTTTGTTGCATCACTGTCGTTGAACGAGTTAAAAAACGTACCAAGGGAATTCAAAAGAGTAGAGTACTCCCATTTGGTGCATCAAAATAGAGATTTTTGGAAGTGACTAATAATTTCAGTAAGGAAATAGTAATCATCCACTAAAGTAAGTCGTTTGTGCTCTATTGATATATTTTCTTGGGAAACAGGTAAAGTTCGAGTGATTGTTTTTCCTATATACCAAGGCTAAAGACGAATATTTAACTGTCAGTCATTGTGTTCGGTAACATATTCATGAATACAACCCTCTTTTAATACATATCCTTTGATTAACCAGCCATCAAATATAGTTCCCGATACCGCTTCATTTGTTATTATCTGTTCTGGTTGTGCATAATTTCACTAGCATCTAACTTCAAAAGACTTTTTCGGTGTATGATGGAGCTTCAAAATTGGTCCTTTTATTTTCAGGATGTAGCCTGCTGATGTTCATTCGTAAGGGAAACTATTTATTGTTTATCTGAAATTCTCAATTTTTGTTAGCACCTATTTCCATAAATTTAAATATTAAGGTAACATTTTGAAATTATTCATTTAAGATTAGAACTGCTGGCTAAAAATAAAATCTTAAATATGCCACGAAAACTTTGTATGCGTTAAACTTTTGGTTCAGACATTTATATAATAATAAATAGCTTCAAAATCATTCAACATAAAACCTTCAACTAGACAAAATTGACCTATTTAAAGTATTAAGATTGTGTAAATCAATATATTCGTTGTTTTTATTGTACTATTTGTTAATGGTAATCTATCAATTAGAGGTCTAGAAACATGCTGTCCATTATTGACTCCTGTACTTCTCATTAGTTTGTCTTTGTTCATATTATACGGAGTATCTATGTTGAGATTTGGGGCTTCGAACGTTGCCTGCAAGCTTCTATGAAGCATGAGGCTGGGTTAATCGCTTTAATGTGTACAAGGATATTTCGAATAGGTATTACAGAATGAGCATACCATTTTTTTGCTTATCAGAATTATTGAATCTGATTTTAATTAATTACGGAAACAAGTTTTGTGAGAAAAAGTGTATGTAAAGGATAATTGTATTTCGCTTAGCTAATTTCCATATAAAGTTGACATGAAATTATTTCAAGTCTAAATGAGTATTGCATTATTACATAACATTTTCATTTGTACCATCTGACACTATTAACAACTTGATATATGAACACGATTGAAGATGGATGATGTAACAGATATTTCTTTTCATACGTACTCAGTTTTAATTATGATTAGACAATCAAATTAACAATGTTGACATATGTTTTTCGTGGATGATCAAACCTTCCAAGTCATTTTATGGTTTATATTTTTATTTTACCCTAATTAAACTATTAACATAAATAAATAACTATAAAAGCTGGTTTTATTCAACAATAGACAACAAAATAATCCTATTATTCTTACCAGAAATGATGCATCTAATGATTGTATATGAAAAGAAACCCAAATCCAACAGTTTACTAAAATCCCAATGATAGTCAACATCATTTTTCCATAAATGAAAAATATTTGGATAAGAGATTCTTCTGAGTTACATTTGACAATTTGTCATCCAACCTATTTACTTATATATATGTATACATGAAAATGCATACAGTTTATCATAAGCATAGGGGTATAATCAAGTTGAATGTTGTATTCCATGAAACTATTATTATATATAAACTGCGAATGAAATGTATTTATTTTAAATGATCAATACATGCACCAGCTTCATTTGTAATAACCTATCATAAACATTTATAAATGACATAAGGTTAAATGTTTATCTAAATAAGAAAATGTTTTTCAAATCATCTATTAAACATTATAAACAAATGAATATAATTATGAATAATATCCATGAGTTTAGACTATAACTACTATAAATGTCTCCATTGAATATTAAAAAAGTGAAATTTATTTATTTATTTAAATGGTCAATACATCAGCCAAAATTTATTTATAACATTCTATCATAAACTTTTATATTTGAAAAGAAGTTATTTTCCTAAACTATCTAATCCATTAAATAAATATACAAAGCAATTTATTATCACTATGCATTTAAACTATATTTACCACGAATGTTATGTTGTATAAATGCATGAAGAATAGTTGTTAGGTAATATATATATATATAACTTACGCCTGTTACTTTTAATGGAGCATAGGCCGCCGATCAGCATTCTTCAACCCACTCTGTCCTGGGCTATATATATATATATATATATATATATATATATATATATATATATATATATATATATATATATATATATATATATATATATATATATAGAATAGGTTTTTGACCAGTATAATAAGTGAAAAATGAAACAAACATTTATTATAAATCACTATAGTTTTTAAGGAATCGGTTTTTAGAATTTTATATTTTTAGTTTTTAATGTTATTTCTTATATAACACTGTAGGGATAGTAGAATGATTTTTATTAAATAGACACTTGTATTCACTATTTATATTATACACGAGAAGCCTTAATCTAAAAATAAAATGAAATATAACTTTGACATTTTTAAGTGTATGGTTTTGATAATGATCGGAAATATCGCGGTGATTTGGAAATGTAATGAAATAACAATATCAGGATAACCTCCACAAAAGTTTAACATCATAGTGCAAATTCTTTGCAAGAATAGACGGTTCCGTGGTGTGGATTTTTGAAGAATTCAGAACAAATACAAAACAAAGGTTCCGTACTTCCTGCTATTTCAAACACCTTTTGGACATGATGTAACATGTTAATATATTAAAATTTTACAAGCGCCTCAAACGGATTTGGGTATGAAAAATTTGATAAGCGGAAAGACTGTACCAAAGCGATGTTTTGAAATAGCACTACTAAAACCCTTTGATCTGTTTAACATTTTGGGATAATTTTAGAATCGAATATAAGCCTTACTTTCTATTCTATCAGTGTGACTGGTTTGGTAAATACAAATAAAATAGTATACTTCGTGAAAGAGAAATCTATCAGTCTTCGAGTGGAGTACATAACGTTTTGTTCAGAGCAACCTGTTCCGATAGAAGATACATTCCCGTTAATGTAGACGTTGGTCTTCCGCCACATGACCCTGAAACTACGCCACCTCCAGATTAAGGTTGAATAAAATACGCTATTTGTTTACTTCAGACTTTTATGATAACTTTTTCAGTATTTCTCAGTAGGTTACTGCAGAAACTTGTTGTTCCTAAGTAATTTTTTTAGCTTGCATTACTTTTGCTTTTGAAATTTTATGGTCTCTTCTGAACTGTAAAATATTATGACCAGCACCAAGTTTTGGTTTGGCCGCCCTTGATTTTCTTCCAACCATCTCTAACACCCGTTAGCATTGCACGACGTGGTAATCGGTGTTCAGGCATACGTAAGACGTGGCCCGACCATCTCAATCCATGAAGATTCACAACCTCATCAACTGATTTACCATCATTCCCTAATACCCTGCGTCGAACCTCACTACTACTTACCCGGTGATCCCAGCAGACGCCAGCAATATTTCTAAGGCATCTGTGGTCAAATACTGGTAGCTTACGAGTGTCTTCTACTCTTAATGTCCATGTTTCGCTGCCGTAAATTAAAACAGAACGGACTGCCGCGCAGTGAACTCATCTTTTTATTGACAGACGGATATTTTGCCTTCGTCATAGGTGACGTAAGTTGGCAAAAGCCAAACGAGCTTTTCGAATCCGTGTTGAGATTTCGTCAGACACCAACCCATTAGGGCTGATCAGACTTCCAAGTTAAGTTAAGTTGTCAACGCGTTCAACTACTTCACTCACTATCCTTATTTGAGGTGCTGACGCAGACCAGTCCTGAAGCAACAACTTGCATTTACCAGGGGAGAAACACATCCCAAACATCCTGGCATTGTTGCTTAGTGCTACCAAACGACTCTGCATTCTATCAGCGTCTTCACCAAACAGAACTATATCATCTGTGTATTCTACGTCGATAAGTGGACCTCCTGGATGGAGATCAATGCCCGAGGATTCAGTCGATGAGAACGTTATTTCTATCAGTACGTTTATGATGAAACTAAACAAAATGGAGAAAGTGGACAGCCTTGACGGACATTACTTGAGGTTGCAAATGCGAGTCAAGGAAGACCACCATTGTTGGACGCCGATAAGTATACCTGTGTTCTAGAATCTGACGAATGGTGAATGTGTAGTCAATGCAGCCACAACCAGGTCTGATGTCAGCTTTGTTTTCAGAACTACCTAAGTGTGACCTTAGTTGTTCCCAGAATCTACTTTTGATTTCCTCGTCACTGAGTTCGACTCTAATAGGTCTTTTTGATGTAGTTTTCGTGCGTCCAGTGAGGTACAAGCACATGTGTGATCGTATTAGAGCATGATCAGAGTCCAAATATGTATTCCAGAACAAGCGGTAGCCTTCTGTCAAGCCCCTCCAACGATGACTGCAATATGGTTCACTTGATTAGATCGCGAGTTCCGTGTGGGCGGTCGCCATGTCGATGTCTCTCCTTATGCTTAAAATTAGTGCTCGCTAAAAATAAAGGCCTTCTGATCACAGCTACTGCCTTGACAACTAGGAATCTTCTATTACCCATTGTATTTGTTTGATACACTTTCAAACTTATTGGAATCTTCATTCTATTAAGATAAACGTACTTATTGTTAATTAGCTTCAATACATCTATGTTAATTATGATCTTAAGATGTAGTAAGTTGTAAGCAGTAGGGGAGAACCTAAGTGAATAAAATTAATTAATGTGGTCCTGTCTCAATATTTATGCTTATTTTCTTCATGGTAATAACCGGAACTGTGTGTAAAATATAAAACAATTCATTAATGCAAGCTTGCAGTCTGACTGGTGGCATGCTAGTTTTTCTAATGAAAGAGTAAGGTTTATGCTATGCAATTACAAAATATGACCGTTAATAGTAGAAGGAATGGGTGGGTTTTAAGTGTTTTTGATCATAGATGTCTTCGAATTATTTTTCGTGTATGGTAGTACAACATTGCGGCTAGTTTCAGTATTTTGATTAAAGATGACCAATTTATTGATAGTGCTGAAGAATAAAGTTTAATTATTTCAATGTTTACTTTATAAAAAAAATATTGAACTAATAATTTTCTCATAGAACTTCAGGTGGTTGCAGCATATACTTTGAAATATAATAATAAGCCCTCACTGAAATATGAACTTTATTTGATGTTTAGTGGGACTTTATGATGACACACAATAACAGTGGATTTTAATGAGTGATACTTTTTGTAACATATAACAAACTACACAATCTAATGACAACACTTTAGTCTACTTTTATAACTCTGAATAAAAACTATTGTCTAAAACAGCTTTATGACATTTCCCAAACAGTTTCCTTGTTAACTGTTGGAATTTTGCCATGTAGCACTTTTGAATAGTACATTGGTACTATGCCAATAAGCAATAGTTTACCAAAGTACTATTAAATGATGAAGTATTTAGTTCATCTAGTTCGTTGAAAAGAAGGACCGTCCAATTTTGAACTACCAGTGAACGCCTGGAAGAACTGGACCACCGTTTCATCCAAGTGCATCAACGACCCCTACGCGGGAATCAAACCCAGGTCATTCGGTCTCTTGCGAGAAGGTCCAATCCCTGGAATACTGAGCTGGCACTCAACGGTATTAATCTCTAACTCCAAACAATCGTATAATTCGTTTGACAATATGCTTCCTGATTCGGAAATCTTTTTTAACCTGATAAAATATATTTCAAAAATTCTATACGAAGCATATATTGTGATACTGAGGGATGTGTTGTAACAAAGACTAAAAATTTCGAAAAAAACTCAGTAGTAATCAACGATAATGTGCCATATAAGAGAAGAGTTACCAAAAGCTATCAGTTTAATTCTGTCATAATTCTCTCTTTTTACGACCCAGCTATTCCTATTGCTCAGTATTACTGGACACCAGTTCACTCGACAAGTCCCCCAAATCAGAACACGGTTGAACAGGAAAAGATATTATATTCCAAATAACAAGGATAGATTAAAGCAAGAAGCACAATAAGAAAAACGTTAGTATATTTATAGTTTTTACATAAGATTCTCGAGTCTTCTCCAAGTATCGGCTAGCGCTGATTGGATAAGAATTAGCCAATCAATGTTTAGCAACGCAATTGTGCATGGAACATGCTTTAATCCAATCTATGTCCCGCTAACAAATTCTGATTCAACTTATCGGCTTTTGAACATGGAAGTATTTCGCTGGTTAATAAACAACTAAACTGATCGGTGATAATTCATCGACACTACTGATTTATTTGTAGGTAGGTCAAATAATTGTACAAATGAAATTTTGATTTACATTTTAATTGCTGTTAAGTTAAACATGAATGAATGTTAGGAATGGAATAGAAATTAAAAAATATCAGGGTTGTTTACTCTTTTTGAAATTCCAAAGAAATTAAAAAGATGGAGGAAATCTATTTGCAGTTAGAACAAACAAAAAAAATCACTTTATCAAAATGAGATTTTCAAAAGATATGAGATATTTACACTTCATTAATTAGATAATGATTCAGAAAGCTTAGAAATATTCCTCGTTTATCTCTTCACTGTCAATAATATAGTTTCCAATTTCAACGTCATCATCATCATCTGCAGTAGCAGTTGTGTAGTTTTTATGAATCCGTTTCGAATTCGATGAATAATTAGAATCATTTAATCGTGATTGTTTGTAATTACTGGTTGACTGAGAATAATTATTTGATGGCAATATAAATGATGTTGGACTTCTTGACTGAAATGGATCCAAGTATCTAGGCATTTTGTTGAATTGTTGATTGCCTCGTTGTTGACCAGTAGGAGGATTGATTATTCGATCGGTAGAATTATCATCATCCCAAGCACTTAGAATTTCATTTTCATAATCCACTTCATTATCATCATCATACTCAGTGTTATCAACCACTGTACCAATATGACCTTTGACATTATTAGAATTCACTGAATAATTAGCAGATGTACAATTATATTCCATCATATTGACTTCATCAGCTGCCTCTAATTCTTCAATATCAGGTATATGATCATCATCAATAAATGAATAGTTTCTGTTTAATTCCATATACCCATAATCTCGACTGATATAACCCGATTGAATATGTCTGCCACTGTGATGATAACGTCCAGAATATTTTGAAGAATTATGTCGTAAATTATTTTGTTTGCTAGAATATTCTGGATACTTGTCAGGAATTAATTTATTAGTAGGTTTAACTGTTTGGTTAATATTCAGAACAGATGTACTACCACCACGTTGAATAATTTTCTTGGTTTCATTAACAGCACATCTTGCCTCGTGTAGTTCAGCTAATGAAAGATGAAAAACAGTGAGGAAGAGAACTAAAGGAAATTTCAACGAAAAATCATTAAACTCATATATCTTATTTACTTGCAATAAACAGGATAGTTTAATGTGATTCCATAGTATTTCATTTGAGACATTTTGTCTGATTGTGTACAGATGGATTAAGGTGAAAAAACAAAGATGAATTTCTGTACTATGATCACTTCAGACAAAAGTAGGTCGGATTAATTGTAAACAATAAAGATGTTCTGTGATTTTCTAATTTTAAACATAACACTGGATTTATTCTTTCTATTCATCACATGACCTTAACATATTTTTGTCTGAATATTGAATTAAGTTTTGTGAAATTGAATTGACACACTGGCCTTCTCCGCTTCGTTGTCTGTCTCGATCAACGAGTGTTTGAAATATACGTACCCAAAATTCATTCTCTTATTTGACATATTTTATCCCGTTATTCTCTAACGGAAAATAGGTCCATAATTATATACGAAGATAGCTGGGATGAATATTTCGTTAATAGCATCATACGATCAAATTGAAGAAAAATCAATAGGTCAAAAAGTAGTATCATTAGTAATAGGAAGCATCAGATACAAGAGAAAGAAAAAAAGGTACGAGATTTTGGGACTCAGGTTATTAGGATAAGGTAAAGAGTGAATGCATCTACACCACTGAGGACAATTCTAAGCGATGCCATACAAGATCTCTAACCCTTGGTTACGATAATTGTGCAGACCGAGTCCAAGAAGTCTATAACTATTGATATGGCTCAATTCAGTTGTTAACGACTTTGGGGACTGAATGATGACAAGTTAAACAATAGCTATATAGAATAATCGATACCATGTAAATTTTCGATCAACAATAAATACACATAACAACTAATTCAAACAGGGCTAATACCAATCTACTATAATAAAAATTGTAAAAATGAGGTAAACTGTACTGACAGTCTGAGTTTTAAGTAGTTTCCGTTGGAGCTATGATAAAAGTGAAAAGTAATTTTGAGGTTTTGTAATGAATGATCTTAATAACAAACAAATCTATGTTCCTGAACTTTAGGTTACATAACTGAAAAATAAAGAGTGAGAGTAATGACACTAAGTATTTTTTAGATCCAGAAACCATGTGATATGATAAGAAAAAAAAAACAAAATTCTAAATCAGGTAATTAAACAAAATTGTTGATTACTGTCGCTGCTGATATAAAGTCAACTACTGAATATACATGAGTTTATTTGATTGTAATTTTTTACACACAAAGCTAAGAATGATATGAACATCGAAAATATAAATTTCGAGCCAGGAATTGAGAGAACGATCAACATATAATACTTTGTTCCATCATGCAGTTTTTTTCCAGAAAATTCCTACTAAAATACACTAGCAGACTATCTGAAGTTGTGAAGAAACGTGATGATACGTAGTTATAATTCAGGCTATAACACAAATACAATCACTTACCAAACTTTTCAACAGTCCTATGTCTGTGACGATAAATCCACATACGACGATTGTTATTAAAGTAGACCGACGGATCAGAAGTTTCACCTTGTAATCGATCCAACGCAGAACTGACACATTGTTGTAACTATTAGAAAAAAAAGTAAATAACTCGACTAGAGCTTTTAACTAAGATGAATCTTAATACAAACGAAAAGACGGAATGAACACAAATTTAATGTTGGATAATTTCAGATAATCAGCAGAAATTCGAGGATAGTAAACAAAAATTCAGAATCTATGAATTTTAGGAACAACTATAACTTCTTTCTGATAGGAGATTAGACAAAACTGAACAGGCATTAGTTATGTCCTACTTATTTCTACTAAGTTATAGGAATACAACATAACAGAGTGAATCAATTAGAGAAACGAAATGTTTTAGCAATAATCATATTGCATGGAATCGAGTCTTACTTCTGCTTGACGTGGTGAGACGGCGGTTCAGTGGTAAAATAGCTTGACTTTTAATCATTAAACTGCAGATTAAAATGTCCGTCTACCTAGAGTGGTACAGACAGGTAAGTGGTATAATTAAGCCTCACACATTACGTGTAGCTCAGTCTCGAGTGCATGCATAAGTGTTTGGCTCTAAGTTACATATGATTGATTGATCGAGTGCATGAGTTTGTACTTCATTTTTAAGTTATATTAGTAAAGAATAAATCTTTAATCATTCCTGGGTATATCAATAAAATTTGATACTGATGTAAACGTTTGAAATGAAACGAGGATATGTTACACTCTCCCGAAATTCTTAATTCATTCCATGACTGAGTTGAGCTAGTGCATTTTCCTATTTATGGTAGGGTAAAATGATCGCCTAGACCGATAGAATTTCGTGTAAAATCCCGTTTATATTCTTCTACTTTCTGATTAATCACGGTTAGCTAATAATTTAGAAATCACTTTAATCAGACGAATATCTTTATAATATCCTTGAGAAATAGCCGTATTTATCTATCAGTTCTGATAGAAAATATTTATTCATGCATTATCTTAAACATTTCCCGATTTAGTTCTTTTCTTCTGAATTGTATCAGACATGTTCAGTTTACTGCTACTGTTGATATTATTTAGTCACTTACGATGGTTTCTGTTAATTTTCTTTCGATATAAGGATGTACCGTGTGATAAATTAGGTCGTACACTTTCATGACTCATTAAAATTTGATTATGCTTGAAAAATACAGATAAAGCAGATAATTTCAAGTACGTACAATGGCACATAAATTATCCATAGTAATATACGTTACATTGCAAACACAACAATACTGAAAAAATCACCTGGCGTGGATTGACATTCGGCAATAAAAAACCGCTATTCTGTACAAGGGTGGTGATATCTGCACGAGTACCTTCTCCATTGGGCAAACAAGCCACAGCGCCTCGGACAATTTCAGCTAAACTTACAAACATAGGGCGGTCAAGCCGCAGTAGAGGATGGTCTCTAGCCTTTGAGTTACCAGACCAATTACGACCAGAATTATACAACACTAAGTCATGACTTAAAGCACTTGGAGCTGAGCGTAACGGTCCAACTACAGCGCAGTAGTTTTGTATGTGATAAACAAATGGAGACCATGGATGAGAAAAACGTTCAGCTTCCTACAAACAATAAAAATATACATAAAACCAATGCGAAACGACGATTTCCATAAACATTACACAGAAGTGTAGACATATGTGCAACCTTGCGTTTGTAATTAGAGAGAGAATTATAGCTGAATTACCAGCTAGCGCTGTCCATCATATGTTAAGTGTTAAAAATCAACCTACACACTTATGTGCCATTTTAAGAAAATCTCGATAAGCTTCAACTAACACACACGACATTGTCTATCCGCTGATATCTTACGGCAGAGGTATATTAAAAGGCAACAAAAGGGTAGTCTCAATGACCGGTAGAACTAAAATTGTATCAGGTTTATAACTTCAAATGAGCTATAACTATTAAGCATATTGATAGGTATAGCTTTAAAGAATAACTCATCATGAAACAATAGCCTATCGCATAGTTTTCTCAGATGCCGATCAAGTTGCGATGATTTGGGGGATAAAATTGGTAATTAGAATGACCTAAAACCAAAAGACTTTGTACAATCACATTAATAATGAAATCTGCAACAAAAGGTGGGGTAATGAGTAAATAATTCCATCAACCGAGAGGTCATAACAACTTTCCAGTTCTAGTGATTAAGATGCAATCAGTAACAAAACTTAGATTCTCAAATATAGTATCCTTTAAATTGATAAGGAAGCATTTATCGAATAGCATATGCATACCACTAAGTGTTACAAGGAAAAAATACTCATAGGAAGACTTATTCTTTTAACGTGAACAACGGATTTTATGACTTTGCTTAGTTAATTGAAACCGGTTTAGTTGCAGCTTCGCTCACGAAGTCGAATAGCTGGAGGTATTCAACGGTAAGTCCTAAACATAAGTATCATCAACGCAGATGGATAACCCAGTGGTTAGAATACTCAGCTTTTAACAAATTCCAGGTTCGAACTTCGATCCATCTATTTCGGTTTTGGTAGCTGGATAGTGTCAATAGCCTATACAGTATAGCTTAAAGCTGAGTACAATAATTTGTACATGATGAGTTACATTAATACAACTCATCAAAAAGTAACAAAAAATAAAACTGGGACTTGAGGAATTCAGTTTTTTCAGCAGTCAGTCAGTCAGCTACAACGTAGGACAAGGCACATATATGCATCGGTCCAAGTTGCCATACCTCATCAACACAACAAGATGGACACTGGATTCATAAAAGTAGTTAATTCAGAGGTGGTAATAAATAAAACAAAGATTGCAATAAGGATATAGTACAGGAAGAAAGAATTAGTTCATAGAAAGAAAGACATGAAGCGATTTTAATCTCTTAGTTTAAGGGAAGACAGGGAGTGTATACACCGACGCCATTGTGATTGATTCTCAACCATGTCACCAAGAGTTTCCAACCATTGGTTACGATAGTCACGCGGACCCCAACCAAGTAGTCTGCATCTACCAACATGGCTCAGACTAGAAGTTAGTGTCTTCAAGCACTGATGCCACGTTTTGGTTTGGCCGCCCTTTATTCTCTTCCAACCATCCCCAACACTAGTCAGTACTGCACGTTCTGGTAATCGGTGTTCAGCGATACGTCAAAAAGTCCCAACCAACTCAGTCGATGAAGATTCACAACCTCATCAACTGATTTACCATCATTCCCTAATACCCTGCGTCGAACCTCACTACTACTTACCCGGTGATCCCAGCAGACGCCAGCAATATTTCTAAGGCATCTGTGGTCAAATACTGGTAGCTTACGAGTGTCTTCTACTCTTAATGTCCATGTTTCGCTGCCGTAAATTAAAACAGAACGGACTGCCGCGCAGTGAACTCATCTTTTTATTGACAGACGGATATTTTGCCTTCGTCATAGGTGACGTAAGTTGGCAAAAGCCAAACGAGCTTTTCGAATCCGTGTTGAGATTTCGTCAGACACCAACCCATTAGGGCTGATCAGACTTCCAAGTTAAGTTAAGTTGTCAACGCGTTCAACTACTTCACTCACTATCCTTATTTGAGGTGCTGACGCAGACCAGTCCTGAAGCAACAACTTGCATTTACCAGGGGAGAAACACATCCCAAACATCCTGGCATTGTTGCTTAGTGCTACCAAACGACTCTGCATTCTATCAGCGTCTTCACCAAACAGAACTATATCATCTGTGTATTCTACGTCGATAAGTGGACCTCCTGGATGGAGATCAATGCCCGAGGATTCAGTCGATGAGAACGTTATTTCTATCAGTACGTTTATGATGAAACTAAACAAAATGGAGAAAGTGGACAGCCTTGACGGACATTACTTGAGGTTGCAAATGCGAGTCAAGGAAGACCACCATTGTTGGACGCCGATAAGTATACCTGTGTTCTAGAATCTGACGAATGGTGAATGTGTAGTCAATGCAGCCACAACCAGGTCTGATGTCAGCTTTGTTTTCAGAACTACCTAAGTGTGACCTTAGTTGTTCCCAGAATCTACTTTTGATTTCCTCGTCACTGAGTTCGACTCTAATAGGTCTTTTTGATGTAGTTTTCGTGCGTCCAGTGAGGTACAAGCACATGTGTGATCGTATTAGAGCATGATCAGAGTCCAAATATGTATTCCAGAACAAGCGGTAGCCTTCTGTCAAGCCCCTCCAACGATGACTGCAATATGGTTCACTTGATTAGATCGCGAGTTCCGTGTGGGCGGTCGCCATGTCGATGTCTCTCCTTATGCTTAAAATTAGTGCTCGCTAAAAATAAAGGCCTTCTGATCACAGCTACTGCCTTGACAACTAGGAATCTTCTATTACCCATTGTATTTGTTTGATACACTTTCAAACTTATTGGAATCTTCATTCTATTAAGATAAACGTACTTATTGTTAATTAGCTTCAATACATCTATGTTAATTATGATCTTAAGATGTAGTAAGTTGTAAGCAGTAGGGGAGAACCTAAGTGAATAAAATTAATTAATGTGGTCCTGTCTCAATATTTATGCTTATTTTCTTCATGGTAATAACCGGAACTGTGTGTAAAATATAAAACAATTCATTAATGCAAGCTTGCAGTCTGACTGGTGGCATGCTAGTTTTTCTAATGAAAGAGTAAGGTTTATGCTATGCAATTACAAAATATGACCGTTAATAGTAGAAGGAATGGGTGGGTTTTAAGTGTTTTTGATCATAGATGTCTTCGAATTATTTTTCGTGTATGGTAGTACAACATTGCGGCTAGTTTCAGTATTTTGATTAAAGATGACCAATTTATTGATAGTGCTGAAGAATAAAGTTTAATTATTTCAATGTTTACTTTATAAAAAAAATATTGAACTAATAATTTTCTCATAGAACTTCAGGTGGTTGCAGCATATACTTTGAAATATAATAATAAGCCCTCACTGAAATATGAACTTTATTTGATGTTTAGTGGGACTTTATGATGACACACAATAACAGTGGATTTTAATGAGTGATACTTTTTGTAACATATAACAAACTACACAATCTAATGACAACACTTTAGTCTACTTTTATAACTCTGAATAAAAACTATTGTCTAAAACAGCTTTATGACATTTCCCAAACAGTTTCCTTGTTAACTGTTGGAATTTTGCCATGTAGCACTTTTGAATAGTACATTGGTACTATGCCAATAAGCAATAGTTTACCAAAGTACTATTAAATGATGAAGTATTTAGTTCATCTAGTTCGTTGAAAAGAAGGACCGTCCAATTTTGAACTACCAGTGAACGCCTGGAAGAACTGGACCACCGTTTCATCCAAGTGCATCAACGACCCCTACGCGGGAATCAAACCCAGGTCATTCGGTCTCTTGCGAGAAGGTCCAATCCCTGGAATACTGAGCTGGCACTCAACGGTATTAATCTCTAACTCCAAACAATCGTATAATTCGTTTGACAATATGCTTCCTGATTCGGAAATCTTTTTTAACCTGATAAAATATATTTCAAAAATTCTATACGAAGCATATATTGTGATACTGAGGGATGTGTTGTAACAAAGACTAAAAATTTCGAAAAAAACTCAGTAGTAATCAACGATAATGTGCCATATAAGAGAAGAGTTACCAAAAGCTATCAGTTTAATTCTGTCATAATTCTCTCTTTTTACGACCCAGCTATTCCTATTGCTCAGTATTACTGGACACCAGTTCACTCGACAAGTCCCCCAAATCAGAACACGGTTGAACAGGAAAAGATATTATATTCCAAATAACAAGGATAGATTAAAGCAAGAAGCACAATAAGAAAAACGTTAGTATATTTATAGTTTTTACATAAGATTCTCGAGTCTTCTCCAAGTATCGGCTAGCGCTGATTGGATAAGAATTAGCCAATCAATGTTTAGCAACGCAATTGTGCATGGAACATGCTTTAATCCAATCTATGTCCCGCTAACAAATTCTGATTCAACTTATCGGCTTTTGAACATGGAAGTATTTCGCTGGTTAATAAACAACTAAACTGATCGGTGATAATTCATCGACACTACTGATTTATTTGTAGGTAGGTCAAATAATTGTACAAATGAAATTTTGATTTACATTTTAATTGCTGTTAAGTTAAACATGAATGAATGTTAGGAATGGAATAGAAATTAAAAAATATCAGGGTTGTTTACTCTTTTTGAAATTCCAAAGAAATTAAAAAGATGGAGGAAATCTATTTGCAGTTAGAACAAACAAAAAAAAATCACTTTATCAAAATGAGATTTTCAAAAGATATGAGATATTTACACTTCATTAATTAGATAATGATTCAGAAAGCTTAGAAATATTCCTCGTTTATCTCTTCACTGTCAATAATATAGTTTCCAATTTCAACGTCATCATCATCATCTGCAGTAGCAGTTGTGTAGTTTTTATGAATCCGTTTCGAATTCGATGAATAATTAGAATCATTTAATCGTGATTGTTTGTAATTACTGGTTGACTGAGAATAATTATTTGATGGCAATATAAATGATGTTGGACTTCTTGACTGAAATGGATCCAAGTATCTAGGCATTTTGTTGAATTGTTGATTGCCTCGTTGTTGACCAGTAGGAGGATTGATTATTCGATCGGTAGAATTATCATCATCCCAAGCACTTAGAATTTCATTTTCATAATCCACTTCATTATCATCATCATACTCAGTGTTATCAACCACTGTACCAATATGACCTTTGACATTATTAGAATTCACTGAATAATTAGCAGATGTACAATTATATTCCATCATATTGACTTCATCAGCTGCCTCTAATTCTTCAATATCAGGTATATGATCATCATCAATAAATGAATAGTTTCTGTTTAATTCCATATACCCATAATCTCGACTGATATAACCCGATTGAATATGTCTGCCACTGTGATGATAACGTCCAGAATATTTTGAAGAATTATGTCGTAAATTATTTTGTTTGCTAGAATATTCTGGATACTTGTCAGGAATTAATTTATTAGTAGGTTTAACTGTTTGGTTAATATTCAGAACAGATGTACTACCACCACGTTGAATAATTTTCTTGGTTTCATTAACAGCACATCTTGCCTCGTGTAGTTCAGCTAATGAAAGATGAAAAACAGTGAGGAAGAGAACTAAAGGAAATTTCAACGAAAAATCATTGAACTCATATATCTTATTTACTTGCAATAAACAGGATAGTTTAATGTGATTCCATAGTATTTCATTTGAGACATTTTGTCTGATTGTGTACAGATGGATTAAGGTGAAAAAAACAAAGATGAATTTCTGTACTATGATCACTTCAGACAAAAGTAGGTCGGATTAATTGTAAACAATAAAGATGTTCTGTGATTTTCTAATTTTAAACATAACACTGGATTTATTCTTTCTATTCATCACATGACCTTAACATATTTTTGTCTGAATATTGAATTAAGTTTTGTGAAATTGAATTGACACACTGGCCTTCTCCGCTTCGTTGTCTGTCTCGATCAACGAGTGTTTGAAATATACGTACCCAAAATTCATTCTCTTATTTGACATATTTTATCCCGTTATTCTCTAACGGAAAATAGGTCCATAATTATATACGAAGATAGCTGGGATGAATATTTCGTTAATAGCATCATACGATCAAATTGAAGAAAAATCAATAGGTCAAAAAGTAGTATCATTAGTAATAGGAAGCATCAGATACAAGAGAAAGAAAAAAAGGTACGAGATTTTGGGACTCAGGTTATTAGGATAAGGTAAAGAGTGAATGCATCTACACCACTGAGGACAATTCTAAGCGATGCCATACAAGATCTCTAACCCTTGGTTACGATAATTGTGCAGACCGAGTCCAAGAAGTCTATAACTATTGATATGGCTCAATTCAGTTGTTAACGACTTTGGGGACTGAATGATGACAAGTTAAACAATAGCTATATAGAATAATCGATACCATGTAAATTTTCGATCAACAATAAATACACATAACAACTAATTCAAACAGGGCTAATACCAATCTACTATAATAAAAATTGTAAAAATGAGGTAAACTGTACTGGCAGTCTGAGTTTTAAGTAGTTTCCGTTGGAGCTATGATAAAAGTGAAAAGTAATTTTGAGGTTTTGTAATGAATGATCTTAATAACAAACAAATCTATGTTCCTGAACTTTAGGTTACATAACTGAAAAATAAAGAGTGAGAGTAATGACACTAAGTATTTTTTAGATCCAGAAACCATGTGATATGATAAGAAAAAAAAACAAAATTCTAAATCAGGTAATTAAACAAAATTGTTGATTACTGTCGCTGCTGATATAAAGTCAACTACTGAATATACATGAGTTTATTTGATTGTAATTTTTTACACACAAAGCTAAGAATGATATGAACATCGAAAATATAAATTTCGAGCCAGGAATTGAGAGAACGATCAACATATAATACTTTGTTCCATCATGCAGTTTTTTTCCAGAAAATTCCTACTAAAATACACTAGCAGACTATCTGAAGTTGTGAAGAAACGTGATGATACGTAGTTATAATTCAGGCTATAACACAAATACAATCACTTACCAAACTTTTCAACAGTCCTATGTCTGTGACGATAAATCCACATACGACGATTGTTATTAAAGTAGACCGACGGATCAGAAGTTTCACCTTGTAATCGATCCAACGCAGAACTGACACATTGTTGTAACTATTAGAAAAAAAAGTAAATAACTCGACTAGAGCTTTTAACTAAGATGAATCTTAATACAAACGAAAAGACGGAATGAACACAAATTTAATGTTGGATAATTTCAGATAATCAGCAGAAATTCGAGGATAGTAAACAAAAATTCAGAATCTATGAATTTTAGGAACAACTATAACTTCTTTCTGATAGGAGATTAGACAAAACTGAACAGGCATTAGTTATGTCCTACTTATTTCTACTAAGTTATAGGAATACAACATAACAGAGTGAATCAATTAGAGAAACGAAATGTTTTAGCAATAATCATATTGCATGGAATCGAGTCTTACTTCTGCTTGACGTGGTGAGACGGCGGTTCAGTGGTAAAATAGCTTGACTTTTAATCATTAAACTGCAGATTAAAATGTCCGTCTACCTAGAGTGGTACAGACAGGTAAGTGGTATAATTAAGCCTCACACATTACGTGTAGCTCAGTCTCGAGTGCATGCATAAGTGTTTGGCTCTAAGTTACATATGATTGATTGATCGAGTGCATGAGTTTGTACTTCATTTTTAAGTTATATTAGTAAAGAATAAATCTTTAATCATTCCTGGGTATATCAATAAAATTTGATACTGATGTAAACGTTTGAAATGAAACGAGGATATGTTACACTCTCCCGAAATTCTTAATTCATTCCATGACTGAGTTGAGCTAGTGCATTTTCCTATTTATGGTAGGGTAAAATGATCGCCTAGACCGATAGAATTTCGTGTAAAATCCCGTTTATATTCTTCTACTTTCTGATTAATCACGGTTAGCTAATAATTTAGAAATCACTTTAATCAGACGAATATCTTTATAATATCCTTGAGAAATAGCCGTATTTATCTATCAGTTCTGATAGAAAATATTTATTCATGCATTATCTTAAACATTTCCCGATTTAGTTCTTTTCTTCTGAATTGTATCAGACATGTTCAGTTTACTGCTACTGTTGATATTATTTAGTCACTTACGATGGTTTCTGTTAATTTTCTTTCGATATAAGGATGTACCGTGTGATAAATTAGGTCGTACACTTTCATGACTCATTAAAATTTGATTATGCTTGAAAAATACAGATAAAGCAGATAATTTCAAGTACGTACAATGGCACATAAATTATCCATAGTAATATACGTTACATTGCAAACACAACAATACTGAAAAAATCACCTGGCGTGGATTGACATTCGGCAATAAAAAACCGCTATTCTGTACAAGGGTGGTGATATCTGCACGAGTACCTTCTCCATTGGGCAAACAAGCCACAGCGTCTCGGACAATTTCAGCTAAACTTACAAACATAGGGCGGTCAAGCCGCAGTAGAGGATGGTCTCTAGCCTTTGAGTTACCAGACCAATTACGACCAGAATTATACAACACTAAGTCATGACTTAAAGCACTTGGAGCTGAGCGTAACGGTCCAACTACAGCGCAGTAGTTTTGTATGTGATAAACAAATGGAGACCATGGATGAGAAAAACGTTCAGCTTCCTACAAACAATAAAAATATACATAAAACCAATGCGAAACGACGATTTCCATAAACATTACACAGAAGTGTAGACATATGTGCAACCTTGCGTTTGTAATTAGAGAGAGAATTATAGCTGAATTACCAGCTAGCGCTGTCCATCATATGTTAAGTGTTAAAAATCAACCTACACACTTATGTGCCATTTTAAGAAAATCTCGATAAGCTTCAACTAACACACACGACATTGTCTATCCGCTGATATCTTACGGCAGAGGTATATTAAAAGGCAACAAAAGGGTAGTCTCAATGACCGGTAGAACTAAAATTGTATCAGGTTTATAACTTCAAATGAGCTATAACTATTAAGCATATTGATAGGTATAGCTTTAAAGAATAACTCATCATGAAACAATAGCCTATCGCATAGTTTTCTCAGATGCCGATCAAGTTGCGATGATTTGGGGGATAAAATTGGTAATTAGAATGACCTAAAACCAAAAGACTTTGTACAATCACATTAATAATGAAATCTGCAACAAAAGGTGGGGTAATGAGTAAATAATTCCATCAACCGAGAGGTCATAACAACTTTCCAGTTCTAGTGATTAAGATGCAATCAGTAACAAAACTTAGATTCTCAAATATAGTATCCTTTAAATTGATAAGGAAGCATTTATCGAATAGCATATGCATACCACTAAGTGTTACAAGGAAAAAATACTCATAGGAAGACTTATTCTTTTAACGTGAACAACGGATTTTATGACTTTGCTTAGTTAATTGAAACCGGTTTAGTTGCAGCTTCGCTCACGAAGTCGAATAGCTGGAGGTATTCAACGGTAAGTCCTAAACATAAGTATCATCAACGCAGATGGATAACCCAGTGGTTAGAATACTCAGCTTTTAACAAATTCCAGGTTCGAACTTCGATCCATCTATTTCGGTTTTGGTAGCTGGATAGTGTCAATAGCCTATACAGTATAGCTTAAAGCTGAGTACAATAATTTGTACATGATGAGTTACATTAATACAACTCATCAAAAAGTAACAAAAAATAAAACTGGGACTTGAGGAATTCAGTTTTTTCAGCAGTCAGTCAGTCAGCTACAACGTAGGACAAGGCACATATATGCATCGGTCCAAGTTGCCATACCTCATCAACACAACAAGATGGACACTGGATTCATAAAAGTAGTTAATTCAGAGGTGGTAATAAATAAAACAAAGATTGCAATAAGGATATAGTACAGGAAGAAAGAATTAGTTCATAGAAAGAAAGACATGAAGCGATTTTAATCTCTTAGTTTAAGGGAAGACAGGGAGTGTATACACCGACGCCATTGTGATTGATTCTCAACCATGTCACCAAGAGTTTCCAACCATTGGTTACGATAGTCACGCGGACCCCAACCAAGTAGTCTGCATCTACCAACATGGCTCAGACTAGAAGTTAGTGTCTTCAAGCACTGATGCCACGTTTTGGTTTGGCCGCCCTTTATTCTCTTCCAACCATCCCCAACACTAGTCAGTACTGCACGTTCTGGTAATCGGTGTTCAGCGATACGTCAAAAAGTCCCAACCAACTCAGTCGATGAAGATTCACAACCTCATCAACTGATTTACCATCATTCCCTAATACCCTGCGTCGAACCTCACTACTACTTACCCGGTGATCCCAGCAGACGCCAGCAATATTTCTAAGGCATCTGTGGTCAAATACTGGTAGCTTACGAGTGTCTTCTACTCTTAATGTCCATGTTTCGCTGCCGTAAATTAAAACAGAACGGACTGCCGCGCAGTGAACTCATCTTTTTATTGACAGACGGATATTTTGCCTTCGTCATAGGTGACGTAAGTTGGCAAAAGCCAAACGAGCTTTTCGAATCCGTGTTGAGATTTCGTCAGACACCAACCCATTAGGGCTGATCAGACTTCCAATTTAAGTGAAGTTGTCAACGCGTTCAACTACTTCACTCACTATCCTTATTTGAGGTGCTGACGCAGACCAGTCCTGAAGCAACAACTTGCATTTACCAGGGGAGAAACACATCCCAAACATCCTGGCATTGTTGCTTAGTGCTACCAAACGACTCTGCATTCTATCAGCGTCTTCACCAAACAGAACTATATCATCTGTGTATTCTACGTCGATAAGTGGACCTCCTGGATGGAGATCAATGCCCGAGGATTCAGTCGATGAGAACGTTATTTCCATCAATAAGTCTATGATGAAGTTAAACAAAATGGAGAAAGTGGACAGCCTTGACGGACACCACTTGAGGTTGCAAAAGCAGATGACAGTTCGCCATAAGCTCTGACTCGACTAGTAGCGTTCGAGCAAAGAGCCTTCACAAGGTTTATGTACTTCTGAGGTACGACTTTCAATGACAGACACTGCCACAGAATCTCGCGGTCTACAGAGTCAAATGCTGCTTTCAAGTCAAGAAAGACCACCATTGTTGGACGCCGATAAGTATGCCTATGTTCTAGAACCTGACGAATAGTGAATATGTGGTCGAAGCAGCCACGACCAGTTCTGAAGGCAGGTTGATTCTCTCGTGTATGCAGTTCACGTGTCTTAGTTAGGCGTCTGATAATTATCGAGGCTAGTATTTTAGATACTATATTAGTTAAACTAATCCCTCTATGGTTGTCACAGGATGATTTTAACACTCTTATATATTGGGACGATAAGTGATTGTGACCAGTCAGATGGAATAACGTCTAACTCCCAGATCTTAGCTAAAATATTAGTCAACCTAATCGCTAAAATTGGACCACCACCCTCAAACACCTCTGGAGCCAATCCATCTGGACCGGCTGCCCTTCCTCGTTTCGGATTAGCTATAGCCTTTTGAACTTCTGCTAGAGTTGGGGGACCTACTTCAATGTTCCATTCACAATGACTGGTAATGGTGGGTAGTTGTAGAGTAGCTGAATGTCAGCTGAACTGTCCTCTGAAATGTTCCGCCCATTGTTCTAAACGTCTGGATTGAGAAATGAGAGTGTCGTCTTTTTCCGGAATAGTCTGACTTACATTTGACTTATTTATTCTAGTTTCTTTTATTAGTCTGTAGAGCTGTCTTGTGTTCCCTATAGCCGCCGCCTTTTCCATCTCTTTTGCTTTCGTTGCCCACCACTGCTCACGGTCGCTCCTTAGACTTTTGCTTAACCTAGACCTGATTTGTTGTCGCTCTTCATCATGTTCAGAATCTGATGGGATGAGTTTACGAGAATCCATCAGTGCAATAGACGTAGCGGAAATCCATTGCTTCTTTGTAACCCTGTGGTTTAAATCACTGATAGATGTCACTGCTGTTTCCACAGCTGTTTGTATAGCTTTCCAAGCAACATCTGGGTCAGCCTCGTTTTCAGAACTACCTAATTGTGACCTCAGTTGTTCCTGGAACCTACTTTTGGTTCTCTCGCTACTCAATTCAGTTCTAATGGGTCTTTTTACTGAGGCTTTTTTGCGTCCAGTGAGGCGCAAGCAGATGCGTGCCCGTATTAGGGCATGGTCGGAGTCCAAGCAGGTACTCCAGAATGAGCGACAATCTTCTACCGACCCTCTCCAACGATGACTGATGGCAATATGATCTATTTGAGTCCATCGTTGGTTTGGTGTAGGGGGTCGCCATGTTAGACGATGTCTCTCCTTATACTTAAAATTTGTGTTTGCTAAGAATAAACGATTGTCTGAGCACAGTTGCAGCAGATGATCACCATTATCTATTCGTTGTGCCGAAATACTAAAATACACACCTAACTGCCTTTCTGTTTGGTTTAAACTACCTATCTGGGCATTAAAGTCACCTGCTACGAGTACTATGTCTGAACGTTTGGCTTTCTGCAGAAGTTCGGACAGCTTTCTGTAAAATTCATCTTTCACTTTATCTGAGCTGCAGTCAGTGGGAGCGTAGGCAGAAACGACAAAAAGGCAACGACGTGTGTCCCTATCCTTCCGAGTTCTTATGGAGCCGTTTAGTCGAACAGTACATAAACGACTGTTAACGGGGATCCACTCTATCAGTGGTTGTTCCGCCCTCATGCTTAGTGCTATGCCTACTTCTGCCAGTCCACCAGAGCTGGCCGTCGGGTCAACAGATACACGGAGGGTGTATCTCGTTGGCTCTCCGTTTTGACGAGGTGAGGTCAAGTGAATGACCATACTGGAATCCTGTATGCGTGTTTCGGAGACACAGCATACATCGATGGTAAGAGACTCTAGGGTTTTAGCCAAGGAAGCCTGCTGACCGATTTGACATAGGGTTCGTACGTTGAAGGCTCCAATGTGTAGTGTGGAGCGAGGTTTCAGTAGACCTGGGACAGTGTTTTGAGCACTAAAATCGTTGGCTATGGTGACACTTGAGGAGGAAGCCGAAAAAGGAAATTTAGAATTGAAAGTCGATGTAGGAGGAATAATAGGAAGTGAAGAGGGAGGTTGATTATGAATACAATGGTCTTGAGTGCTGTTAGAGGTATGAGGGCGGTTATCACTTCCCGGTTGCCCACACCGTGGAAGGGTTCTTCTGGAGGTACCTGAAAAGGAAATTGGATTAGAGGTGGTCTTAGTGTTAGCTCCGTACTTGTTGAGACCTTACCGCCGGAGACGGATATCCGTGGGATAAGGCGAGGTGTGCATTTTTAGGGTCGACCTTTTCTAACCCCACCCCTCCTTGTGGGAAGGCAGCATCGCTGTCATGCTGGTTGTCTGAAGGAAACACCTTACTGCTGTCACACCTCTGTACAGTCAGCAGTACGACTTCGCCTTCGAACCTTGGGTTTGTTGCTTTTAGTCTTACCGCTCTTCAACCGACCTGTCTGACATGGTAGGACCTTGAGGAACGGTTGTTTCAGCCAGTATAGCTCGATTGCTTCATCACGATAGGCAAGCCCGACCACCACGTCAAGGTAGCAACAACGGTCGGGAGTTTTTTCAGCATAGTTATTAGTATTCAAGTGACCAATTCACTTTTATACAAGTAACTTTAGGTGTAGTAGATGAATAAATTAATAAGTCGATATTATGGACAAAGTAGAAGTTATCTCTTTTATTATTAGTTAATTTATATTTAGATGCATAAAAATACAAACACTAAACTTACTTGCAATTGAAAATCAGCCTTCTCTTCCTTTGAAAATGGTCGGAGTTTCCATTTAGTTGGACTGGAATGAAAGAGAAGCTGACTTACAATACCACAGGACATGCATAATAGAAAGTATTAGTTTCTGTAGAGAACAGATGTGATCGAATAACAATAAATATAGAAAGCCTCTAATGTCAAATACTTCCACAAAAAATACACAACACAGAAAAATGCCAATTACATAATCTTTATGCCACAATTGCATAAATGAACAATTTGTCGGGACATTGTGTTTCTGTGCAACAACACTTACGTACAGTGAAATATCGTGGTCAATTTATATTTAATGATATATCTCTGTTCTAATACTGAACTGTTTTGTTTCCGTGCTGCTGGAAGGAGGAACATTTTGAATTAAGAAAGCCATCATGACACATAGTTTTTTATTCCATTTGTCTAAAACACGAACTTTACTTAAGTACAGGCACCGAGCATCTACTGAGCGTGTAAATAATAGCAAGAAGGGTTTACGAATGTAAAATCAGTACATATCAATAACCAAAGAACCATTTTAATGTTGATTACAATCATTATTTCTGTCCTTAACGTTGTATATGTTTAGGCTGAAAAATTTATACGTTTAATTTTTAATAACTAAGAATAAAATAACCTAAAAAACACTTATCTCTTAAAAAAAGTACGTGAAAAATAGAGTTATGGTCACAACCGATAGTTTAAATCTCAAAAGTGAAAATATATGGCTGATGAAATTAGACTTACTAAAGTGGTGGAGGGATATCATCGTCGGAATAAAGTCGATTATCTTCATGGGATATTGACTGTTGAGAGTGTTTTGATGAAATGTTTCTTCTAATCTTTTGGATGTCTCCACTTTTCTTATCGCCATCATCTGACTCAACTTGGCAATCATCTATTCGTAAACATCTTTCACCTTCATCAATTTCTGAGTCTTCTACATCACCGTCACCATCAGATCCTCCAGAATACTGTTTTTCCTTAACTGAAGAATTTGTATTCTTAACGGATTTGACTTTATTCCTCCCACTCAAAAGCGAGGAGTCTGTTATCGACAAAACTGCATCTGTCAACCCACCAAGACCACGAGGAGCTCGAAGCCAGTCAGAAAATAAACCCGTCAACTCTCTGGTTTCCAGTTCAAATTTTTGGATCCATTCTTGGTCGACTTTAGGGTTTATTCCTGATGGGGGGCACAGGAGCCAACACCACTGATGAATGCGCGGTTTTAAACTAACAAACGGTCTCGGACATACAAGCCGGCGAGAACTGTTACGTATGACACTTTCGGGTGAACTTTCTGCGGTAAGAAAATCTAATGCATGATGAGTTACAGAAGACCAGTCTTCAACCTGAATAAAAAACGTGTTACATTAAAACAAAACTAAACTAAATGTAGATCGAAATGATCAATTGTCTGTAAACTGATAGTCGTGAAATCGGGTTGATACACCGAGGCAAACTAAGGACCAAACAGACTAAATATCGTCTAATTGTTATCAATGAAAACTCCGCCTGTAGCTCTTCTACAGTTACTGCCGGTCCCAAGCCCGGGTAAAGGAGGAGGGTTGGGCATGGGGTTAGCGTCCCCATTCCGTAGAAAACTAACTCGCTAAAAAAACGCTTACCAGAAAAAATAATTCAAACCATTTTAACTCTGCCCTGGGAGTTAGAAGGTCTTCACGTGAAAGGATTATGACGCTTGATGATGAAAGCCGAGTTCCTTCGGAAGCCACGAGGCCGATGCCCTTTCTAACAACCAGAGCAAAACTTTTTGTAGGTACATGGAATGTTCGAACAATGTGGGAAACCGGGAAGACCAGTCAAATAACTACGGAAATGAGGAGATACAATTTGGCAGTACTGGGAATCAGCGAAACCCACTGGACCCAAGCTGGACAGAAAAGGCTAGCTACGGGAGAGATGCTGCTATACTCCAGTCACGAAGAGGAAAATGCTCCACACTCAGGGAGTCGCTCTAATGCCGTCCAAAGTAGCGCGAAATGCACTTGTAGGATGGGAATCTCACGGATCCAGAATCATCAAAGCATCATTCAAAACAAAGAAGGAGGGGATCTTAATGAATATTATCCAATGTTATGCACCCACCAATGATAGCAACGACGAAATTAAAGATCAATTCTACGAGCGGCTGCAGTCAAACATAGAGAAATGCCCAAGAAAGGACCTCACCATTCTAATGGGAGATTTAAATGCCAAAGTCGGAATAGACAACACTGGATATGAAGATATCATGGGGCGACATGGATTGGGACAGAGAAACGAAAATGGAGAAAGATTTGCAAATCTATGTGCATTCAACAAATTCGTCATAGGGGACACAATATTTGCACACAAGCGTATACACAAGGCTACATGGATCTCACCGGACCACACTACAGAGAACCAGATAGATCATATTTGCATCAACAAAAAATTCCGAAGGACAATGGGAGATATGAGAACCAGGAGAGCAGCTGACATAGCTTCAGATCACCACCTAGTTGTAGCCAATTTAAAACTGAAGCTAAAAAAGAACTGGACAACTGGACAAACAGCACTACAAAGGTTCAATACAACCTTCCTTCGAGATACTGACAAACTCAGTGAATTCAAGATAGCTCTCAACAACAGGTTCCAAGCCTTACAAGATCTACTGAAGGAAGAAGAAACTACTATGGAGGACAAATGGAAAAGGATCAAGGAAGCATTAACTTCAACGTGTCAAGAGGTTCTGGGTCTAAAGAAATACCATCATAAGGAATGGATCTCTATAGAAACACTGGACAAGATCAAAGAAAGGAAGAACAAGAAGGCAGCAGTCAACAACAGCCGAACACGAGCAGAGAAAGTCCAAGCACAAGCTGAATACATAGAAGCAAACAAGCAAGTGAAGAGGAGCATTAGAGCCGACAAGAAGAAATACGCGGAAGAATTAGCAACGACGGCAGAAAAAGCTGCTAGAGAAGGAAATATGAAACAACTTCACGATACAACGAAGAAACTAGCAGGGAAATACAGTAAACCAGAGAGACCGGTCAAAGACAAAGAAGGCAAGACAATCACTGAAATTCAACAACAGTGGAACAAATGGGTAGAATACTTCGAGGAACTCCTGAATAGGCCGGCTCCAATGAATCCAGTGGACATCGAAGCAGCACCCACAGATCTTCCTATAGATTTCAACCCACCAACGACGGAAGAAATTAGAATGGCCATCAGACAAATCAAGAACGGGAAAGCAGCAGGACCTGACAACATACCAGCAGAAGCACTGAAATCAGACATCGAAGCAACCACAAGTATGCTTTACCTTCCATTCAAAAATATTTGGGAGGAGAAACAACTGCCGATGGACTGGAAAGAAGGACACCTTGTCAAGATTCCAAAGATAGCAGATCGGAGCAAATGTGAAAACTACAGAGGCATATCACTACTGTCAATACCAGGGAAGGTCTTTAACAGTGTTGCTGAACCGGATGAAGGATGCAGTAGACGCCCAACTTCGAGATCAACAAGCTGGATTCCGTAAGGATCGGTCGTGCACAGACCAAATTGCAACACTACGGATCATCGTCGAACAATGAGTTGAGTGGAACTCGTCACTATACATCAACTTCATTGATTACGAAATGGCATTTGACAGTGTGGATAGGAGGACATTATGGAAACTTCTTCGACACTACGGAGTTCCTGAGAGGATTGTCAATATTATCCGGAACTCATACGACGGACTACAGTGCAAAGTAAGTGCATGGAGGACAGCTGACAGATGCATTTCAAGTAAGGACCGGAGTCAGACAAGGCTGTTTACTCTCTCCCTTCCTTTTTCTCCTGGTGGTCGACTGGATTATGAGGACCTCGACATTTGAAGGAAAACACGGAATACAATGGACAGCTCAGAATCAATTAGACGATTTGGACTTCGCAGATGACCTAGCCCTCCTATCACGTACACACGAACAGATGCAGATGAAGACAGCCAGTGTAGCAGCAGTCACTGCATCAGTAGGCCTCAGCATACACAAAAGGAAAACCAAGGTCCTCAAATTCAAAGCGGAGAACAGCAATCCAATCACACTTGATGGAGAAACTCTGGAAGATGTAGAGTCCTTCACATACCTGGGAAGCATCATCGATGAACAAGGAAGTTCAGATGCAGACGTAAAGGCGAGGATCGGCAAAGCAAGGGTCGCATTCCTACAATTGAAGAACATATGGAACTCAAAACAACTTTCAACCAATATCAAAGTGAGAATCTTCAATACGAACGTCAAAACAGTTCTACTGTATGGAGCTGAAACTTGGAGAACTACAACAACCACCATCAATACGGTACAAGCATTTATAAATAACTGTCTACGCAAGATACTCAACATCCATTGGCCGGATACCATCAGCAATAGCCTTCTGTGGGAGAGAATAAACCAACTTCCAGCTGAAGAAGAAATTAGGAAAAGACGATGGAAATGGATAGAACATACATTACACAAATCATCAAACTGCATCACGAGACAAGCCCTAACTTGGAATCCTGAAGGGAAGCGGAAAAGAGAAAGGCCTAACAACACATTACGTCGGCTAATAGAAGCAGATATGAAAAGGATGAATAGGAGCTGGAAAGGATTGCCCAAGACAGGGTTGGATGGAGAATGCTGGTGAGCGACCTACGCTCCTTCACGAGGAGTAACAGGCGTAAGTAAGTTATCAATGAAGGATTTCTACTTACTACAGTAAAGGCGCTTGAACATCTTAAGAGCTTCGCATTTATTACATATATGTGTAATGATACAAAACTGATTGTCATTAACTACATTTCAATCACTGAATTAGTTAATACAATCGTGGATATTACGCAAAGTAACGGAGAAAAGTAAAATCTACGCAATCATTTGTGATTGATAGAAATCGAAAAGTTCTTGACAGTAAAGTATTAACTGATGAGCATCTCAGAAATTATCCAGTCGTACTAAAAGCTATGGAATGATTGACGTTAATACACATTTGCATCTAAAAAATAAAAGTTTTAGCTCTAAGCATGTTCAGTTTGTCATTGCTTTCATTAGCTACTATAGTAACTTAAAAATGACTTTCTCACAAATACCACATAAGTTAGGTTTTTATGCCCCCAAATGCCCTGGTACGGCTGAGAGTGAGGAGAACCAGCTTTCCCTCTCAAAATGCTCCCACATGAATACATGTATACAGCTACTATCAGGGAAGTCCAAAACACTGCCTTCTCGTGGTGCACATGAGCTTCAGTATCCTGGGGAAACAAATAGAGTATGAACATGCTGTTGGTCACCGGTCACCGTAAGACTGTATCTCTTAACGTTGCTCTACTGCCTTGTGGATTAGACCTATAGGTCAAAGGCTCGGGGTATGACCCTCTAAGAAAACCACGAGCTTCTTTTTTGGCTCCCAGGCAGTATTCCAGCTCTCACAAAAATCGAATGAAGTGTGGCACACATACATTCGGTGCCTAATTGTACCAGATTTCATGTGTTTGAATAAATAAATATTTCTTCTGCATTCTGATATATCGACCATGAAATGAGAAACTGCAGAAGTTTGATAGATATGTGAGTTTATAGAAGGACATAAAAGTTTGGATCATAAAGTGATTAAAGATTTCATGGAAAGGAAAATTCTATTCGCTGAATTCTCTTTATTTTTATTCAATGACACAAGCGGTTAATTACACGAACTAAAGAATTCATTTTTAGGGACGAAATTGAACTACATTCTTACAGATGCATTTCGAAAATAAACACTTTACATAATTTACCCGATCGATCCAGCTGCAACCTCTCCCAACCGTTCTTAACCTGTTTTGATTGCAAACTTGCCATTCACGAACATATTCACAAATCTGAGCTGTAGTTAATCTCCTCCGTACACCCCCATGTGTAAGAAATCCTCTAAGTAAACAGAAAAAGCCATTTTCTGACCTATATGTAAATGTAAAAAGTTGATACGGATATTTAAATCATTGATCCGCATAGTCATGACTTCACTATGTAGAACAACACATTGCATTCTCCAAACAGACATTTTATTAGTTAAGCTCTTAGTTAGCAATGGAAAAACATGACGTCAATCATATCTTTCTAGCTTAAAATCAAATTATTTGAAAAGATTCACAATGTTTGCAAATAATTTCAACTACAACATATAAGATGGCATCATTTCACCCTGAAGTGTACTGTGAATATATGATAAATTTTTACAATAGATGATCGAAAAGCATGTTAAAAAGTTAAATAACATTTAAAGGGGTTCAGTTACTATTTAGATGTAGTGACCAGGATCATACAAATAAACTTACGAGGGCCAGTGATCAACAGGGATTTTTTCTGACTTAGCATTCAAGCCTGGAACCCGGCGTGTGTGCTTCGTGAAACTTTGTGATACAGCTGAACGAATCTTACGCGATGCAGATCCCTTCAGCTTTTTGACGACTGTATTACCAGAATTCTTCTGTGATCTGGCAGTCTCTAACAAACGACATAGTTTTTCACGGTTCTTTTCCAGGTTGGAATCATTATCTATGATGTTGCTTTGACGTTTTAAATACAAGTGAATCATTTTATCAAGACCTAAAAATGGAAAAAAAGTCTATGAACAACGATGATAAATTTGTCTAGCAAGCAATAAGCTTAGGTTTCTGGTTATAGGAAATCTTATTTAAAAAATGAATGGGTAGTGTTGCTGGATTGACAAGTCCTAGTTACATCATTCTATGGTGTTTATCAACACATCCTAATAGACAATCACTGGTCAGACGTTAAATCCTTTGTCTGAACTTGTCAAGTGAATTTAGGACCGACAAGTGATAGGTTTTGTTCAAATTGTTCTTGATTTTATTCCTCTATTATCAAATATAACTACTCAGTGGATAAGAAAACAAATAGTCAACTCATTTACCAAGTACTTGGGTATGAGACCTAGTGGCTGAAAGACGAACGCCTTAACAGCTAAGCTTGAGTAGAAAGACAGGAAAATTTGACTATACAACCAGAATTTCCTGGGATGCCGTTGAGTTGTGACTATCACCTCAGAATGAGTAAGCACAGTGGATACATATTTCACATTAACTCTATAACTGGTTAGGGATAACAAAAATGTCAATTACGTATACACTCCGAGTCCCCAACTGGGCTCCTAGAGTTCAAACAACCACTTACTAGAACTGATTTGTGCCGCATAAATAAACCCAAGGGAGACAGTTATGTCCAGCAAAAATGAGACGATTGACCTTCCGAGTACTTAGATAAACTTCACACCTGCTAAGTGGCTTGTACCGAAAGCTTGAATTAAAAATCTGGAGAAATTTTCGAGTGTTTAGGGTATTTCAGTATTATTGAAAGCTACGTTGCTCTTGATAGGTCAGTTTCCAGCTACATCACGGAGTACACACAACATTTATATGGGTATCCTCAACCCACACTAACAATGATATAAGTGACATACATGACCACTTATTATGGACTTAGCATACTTAGTAGTGATCCAAACTCCTTTTGTTTGACTGTAAAACACCAATGTTAAGATCGGATCGTATTTATAGGTCACAGGTATTTATTTGTCTCCAAAGCGCTGTGTACTAGGCTTAATAGAGGAACAAAATAAATACTATTGGAAGCCGCCATTATTAAACATGACTGCCTATAGCTTTTCACACTGTACCACGCCTTCGGGACTTGTGTCAACACATTTTCGTTCTTGGGGTTCATTGTCATTAAGGAAAGCAGTGCTAAGAATAGGTTGCAAGTATTTATGAAAATATGTCTTCAGAGCACTTGCAGTGTATTAGAACAACTGAAAGGGATGTTGAGGTTGTTCAATATTTTAGGTAAGGAAAATAAGCTAGCTCGCCGGCTTCTAATAGTTAATATAAATGCTATCTTTTATATTAGTGTTTAAACAGCAACACGTAAAACAATATGAGGTACATAGTAATATATGAACCCATACAAGATAGAGTTGTCAATGAACATTTACAGGTTCATTTCTTACTTCAATATTACCACGCCGATGCAGAGTACGGACCAACTTGCAATAGCTACGTCGTAGAAGGGCAATACGCTGAACTGGATAGCATTCTACTCTGCATTACTCCACCGCTATGCAACATGGTCTGTGAAAGTAAAGAAACAGGCTGGATGGGGGTTTCCGATCATAGGTTTCTTTCAAGTGTTCTGCCAGAATTCGATGTTCGGAAAATACAACTGTTGTGCCTAATGTATGATGGTTTTCAGTTGGATTATTGTAACGGTCACATACAGATACATCAACATCAGTTAGAAATCCATTAAAGGCAGATGACACAGACAATAAAGACAGTTGTATTGAGCAATGACAATACCAAATACCCGAACATGAAATCCAGGAATTATTTGTTCAAAGTACAATAGTTTTAGTATGGAATCTGTGCTACTAAAACGGAACAAATTGAGTCAACCTAAGCTACACAACCCAATCGAGACGTTTTGTTAGGCATTCACACACTAGTTGGTTAGCCAGCAGTGACAAACACCTGTTTCCTGCGTCAAAAATTAAAGTAATCACTTGATGTAAACTCCAAGATAAAGTCTACTTTGCAATTCCCAGACATTTTGCTCTAAATTTAAGAATTACCTTCAAAGGTTTACGGCGAGTTCTAAATGTTCTCACACATATGTAGAACATGTTGCGATTAACTGCTTTGCCTCAAGGAAAGCCTAACTACTTCAGGGGAATGAAAACGGAGCGTAGTGGATGGAACCTATAGCTAAAGGGAACTTCAGAGACTCCAAAGATTTGGTAATATTGTGTAGGCATTTGTGAAGTACTATTCGGGTAACTAAAGATACAGGTGGGGTAATTGTCGGACATAGTATTGCCTTAAAATATAAAATAAAATTCACGTACCAACTTTAGTTTCTTTATCATCCGTTCTGGGTAACTTGAGTCCTTTTGCCTGAAGCTCAATATCATTTATTAACCTATATATTCATACTCAATTGTAACCGTCATATGAAACCAAACCTCTCGTAACGATTTGTAGCTATCGAATTTATTTGGTTCTCTACTTCATCATCAACATCAAGAAAATCTTTCTGGGCAGCGCACGCATCATTACATGAGTTCTGTTAATTCAGTGTATAAGAAAAGTTAATATGATTTGCCTGTATGTTTTCCAAGTCTTTTCCAAATTTAGAGAGTAGAATATCTGCTAAAATTTTTCGTCTTTCTCCTAACAAGGAGTAAAACTCCTCTACCTTCATTATCGTTTCTTAGCGCCGTTCTCCAAGGTCAACATTGGAAACCAAATAGAGGGGCAGGAATACCATGTCCAATGTAGCATCAGACTTCAGATTCAAACTTGAAGAATGAACGTGGTTACTCAGTATAAATCCTTTTCTAGTTCTTTTTCTGTTAGACCAAATGTAAGAACAGAAACTACTACTTTTAACAATAGGTTCCAGGTGCTTTTCAACGATAGTTGTTGGGGTTTCCTTAGTTATAACACACGAAATTCCTTCGTCATGGTTCCGATTGTATCCTATCCTGTCAGAGTTTTAAAAAGGGCCAGGTTTTTCCTTATTTTCTTTATCTACATCTATCCGTTATTTCAATGAAATGATGAAACAATCAGTATTCAGACTGTAGATCACAAACGATCTGTGTCAGGTTGGCTAAAACCCTAGGTTTCCACGTAAGCCTGATGTATCACCCAGTGTAATAGCGGTCATGTTCACGTTCATGTAGTCATTGAATTCGTTATATGCTGTGAATTTTGCTCTGGTTGGAATTTTGATTTGTCAAGTCTGACTGCGTTACGCCGGACATGTACTGCGTGCTGGAATGATATTCTAATCTATGGTAAGTTTACTCACAGCGTTAGTTTTTTCTAAGTAGACCGTTACTGGAGAAGGGTTTGTTGTGCTGTAAACTATGTTTTTATGAGTAAGCGACTGTTGTCTTCAAACACCAAACAATATCGTTTGTCTTCTGTTGCTTCGTTAAGCTTCTGGTTTATTACTGCAGAGGTAAACATTTGAACATAAACTCTAGTATATTCAGTATTTTTTAAACGAAAACACAGGTATTTTCATTCGTACGTTACTACCTCTTCTGAGCTGATAGCATTTAAATATCGATTTGTAATTAAATCAATTCTCATACTCAACCGCTTCTGTGATATTATTACGTGTTAATACACTGGTACAATTCTCTATCTGTTCTAGAAAAACGTTTGGACGAATTCTCATAAATTAGGAAATCAGTTCCCCTTTTTGACTTATTTGAAGCTAAATGCTCAGTCATTGCTCTCGTAAGACATGTTGTAGAAGAACATAAAAGAAAAGGAAATTAAGGGAAATGAATATTGTAGTTTGTCTCAAACCGAAGAACTAATAAATCATCATAAGAGAGAAGATAATCTAATTAAAATCATGGGAAATTATTGTTCTGGTTTTCGTCTTTAAGGAAAGTTGGTAAAAAGACTGAGTGTTGACAAAATGTTCATTCCAAATATGAAACCCTTGAGACAGACATTTGAAATTTTTTCACTGGTAGTCAAAGTGGTAAAAATTCTTGGAATATTAGGGACACGTATCCACAGCTACTCTGATCTAAATATTTTTATTGTTAGAAATAGATGAATGTCATAGAAATGGTCTGAATGTTAGCAGATCGGTATATACTGGATAATGATGTTTATGCGAAAAGTGTTCCCAGTGATAAATGTTAAAAGCGTATATTTTGTCATTAATTTAACAAAACAAATAATACTTAAATATAACAATCCATAATAGAAATAGTCATTTGGATTTATGTATATAATCTATTTCTAAAGAAAATCAAGTGAACATAACTGATGGGTCATTTTGCTCACTGAGTCCATACTAGGCATAGATTCATAGAGTTAATTTATTGATATCTTTAAAAATATATAGAAGGAGAGATAAGTTAACCATTGAGAATTTTGTTTTATCAGTTATAAAAATTATTTGGTGAAAATATTTCTTAATAAAATGCTTATATTTTGCTCAAAAGACCGAAGGAATATTTAGGAATTATTATATCGTAAGTAAGATTCCATGAAATACAGAAAAGAGTATCCTGAAAATTTTAAATCACCAAATTCAAACAAGGAACCAATTTTTTTTATATTTTCGCCCCCTCCCAAAAAAATTGAAATTTCAAAGAGAACTGTAAAAGAACATTCTACATTGACATCAATTTTCGTATAAACCATAAAATGCTCATTAAATTACCTAATAGTTGACACATACACATATGAAATTATCTTCGGTTTTGAATTCATAATTTTACTTGTACTTTGAATTTGTTGATATATAATGAACTATGTCACTAAACAAGCTATGATTTTTTAGTAGAGTTCATATTGTATTACCTATCAGACAATTAAATGCTGAGATAATCTTAAATTCAAAATTCTCAGTAACTTTGTGAAACTTTGATTTGTATGCTTTCACAACATTTATTTATTCCAATAACATAAATGATATATATTTACGAATGTATACAATTATAGATGTTGTTATCAGTCATAATGAAATTATTATAACTTAATAATAAATGATTTTGAAGTATTTATTTTCAGAAGACTGATGTTCATAATGTTTTTTGATTAAAGTAATCTATCTGTTATTAAATAATGTAGGTAAAGTAGGCTCATCAAAATATGCTGAGAGATAACAATACCAATCACTCATAGAAATCATAGGGATTATGATCTACATACTTAATTGTAATGGTTAGTGGTGGCAATGTTAAATTTATGTTTTATAATACAAAGAAAAATGATACAATATATCATAGTTGACTTTACAATAAATTTACTAAAACTGCGTTGAAATATTACATGAAACCAGTTCAAATGATGAAACTTCTTTAAAGTCTAGTGTACTAATAAAGTAGCTAAAAAATAATAGTTTACGCTTAGATTTAATAGAGGAACATACCTATAAGAAAACAGGCTTAAATCAAAAAAGCAGAAATAGGTCAAGTGATATACTGACAAAACTATAGTTAGTTGGACTGTAATTGGGATGTAAATTAGCATCATCTAAGAAGATATGTGGTAGTGAACTATATCACAGTAGGAGTATGCCTATAGGCGTACACTGAACCCAATATGTTTCAACTGTTCCTGAAAAGATTATAAATAAAGTCATTAGTTTTTGACGAGATATTTTCTGTATGAAATCAGTGTTCGGAGTAAACCACGTCATTCTTAGAGTTCCTCTTCGTCAAGCAGTGACGAGGATCTATGTATGATCTATGTAGATCAGTGCTAATCGATCTAGGAGAAGTATAGTTTACATAAACTATTAGGTCTTTAGAAACAACATAATGAAAAGGCACAACTAGAACAGATTCATGATTACTAAATCTAGTCTTTCTCCGTGAATCTTTAAAGCAAAAATTTTCGGATAAATGGTATGTAATGTTGTAAATGTTTTTCATTACTTATCTACATCACACTTATTAATGCATTTTATAATAATCATAAAACGAAATAACTTACTGTTAAACAATATAAGTAGATTAAACCAATTTGCAAAATTTGATGAACATTTGTGACATGATCAGCAGATTGCATGCAGATTTTAAACAAAAGAAACAGACATTCGTTTAAGACTATTTATTGCGAGAAAGCCTCTAATCCTGATAATCTTTTTGACTATATTTTTGCGGTCACGATTATAAGGTTACAAATGTTTCCTGATAGTATTGTGATTTCGCTACTAGCATTGAATTCAGAATGATAGATATAATTGTTTAAAGATCTTCGTCATATTAAAAAAAAACAGATATGAATAAGTCTTAGATTTTAAATTCGATTCAAATAAACAATACCTACTAGCCATTTCAATATTAAAAATCTAGCTTATTTGATCAACAACCTTAACTTTGCGTATTGTAATTGCAAATGGTATTTCATACAATTTTGTTGAGCTCCATAATGATGTAACTTTGTATACTGTTCAGCTCATGAGGAGAAAATAAATGCACTATTTTAAGATCTTTTGCATACAGAAGGGGCTTGTCCACATAAAAACACTCACAACTATCATTGATAAAAACTTAAAAGAGAAAAGGGCCTAGGACACCACCCTGTATTACACCGTTTCTAACAGGGACAGCGTTCGACAATGATGGATTAATTTTATCGATTTGATGTTGGTTGCTGAGGAAGGAACCAAACCAAGCAAGCAAAGGGTCTTGGAACCCGTAGGATGCGAGTTTATTTATATGAAGTTGGTGGTTAACCATGTCGAGGGCTTTGGAAATATCCAAGTATAGCACTAGGACTAGATATCCTTGGTTACGTTGGGAATAGACTAAATTAAAGAAATCAAAATGGCATGTCATACAAGATCAGTATTTAAAAAATCCGTGCTGAATATCAGTGATAAATTTTTCAGTAAGTAAATAGTTGGAGAGTTCGTCACCAATAATTTTTTCCATAACCCTAGAGATAACTGGAGTAATATTTATAGGCCGATAATTGTTCATGACAGTCTTATCTCCAGATTTGTAACGTGGTATGATGTACGTTTTTTTCAACAGTAAGAATAAGTACCTGGTTCCATAGAGAAACTAAACAGTTTTGGAAGGAAAAGTGGAATATCTAGTCCACCATATTTGTAGAGAAAGGATGGAATCCCATCTACTCTATAATCGCTTGAAACCTTCAGGGAGTTTATAGTCTTACCAATTTTCACGTATGCGAAGGAAATAAATTTTATTGAGTTAATAGTTATATACATGACTTTTGAGACAGTGTCATTTAGAAATTCATTACTGTGCGCAAAAATATCTCTGAAAAGGTTCGCAATGGCTTTAGAGTCGTTTATAAAAGTGTCATTATCTAGGATATATGTATTTTGAATTGCTTTATTGCGTTTATTGAAAATGAGAGTTAAGTTTTGCACTTTTGAGGTTACATTAAGTGCTAACAACTAATTATTAGCTTTTAACTTGTGCTTTACTTTAATTTGGTTAAAATTATAATTGTTGCTAAAATCCATAACGACATGACTGACAACGACCGGTATCGCAGTTTATTTTGGGATTATTTAAACCTCCAGTAATTACCTTAGAATTGAAGTTTAAAACATAAATGCATTAATAATAAGATCATTCACATTATCCGAAATATCAGGGACTTTGTATGTACATCTTAGGAGTAGGCTGTGATTCAGGGTGTTAACTGATATCTAGACCAATTCAGGTAAACTATTTAGGACAC